GGTTTCTGTACCATTTAGCAAAAGGACCATTTTCTTCACCTTCAGGGGTACTGGGCATCAAGGACTAGACCTATATTTTATAGACACATAGGCAATCGGTGGGTTATGTGGTCAGCATCATGTCGGCCGCCTTTACTTCCCGGGACCATACCTTGAACCTACCACCTTCCGATCCGCAGGCGAGCGCCTAGCTGCTACACCACAGCGGCTCTCTGTACAATTTAGTAGAGTTAAGTAAAACATTTTCTTTTAATTATGAAAAAAATTATGAAGACTGAAGGTAGATGATTTTTCACTTAAGCCTCAGCACCAGAACAGCTTTAGTACCCCAGGATTGGGTACACAACTACCTAATCCCACTTCCAAACCAGGGAAAGATAATTCCAAACTCTGCGGTTTCAGGATTATTGCCCCACAAAATACCTTTGGCAAGGTGCTAGAGAAGATTATTGCTGTTGAACTACAAATGTTTTCGGAAATGGAAGAGCTTCTGCCAAAAGGTTTGTGTAGTTACCGGCCACGGAAAGATACATGGTCTAATGCAGCTATTTTTGCTTTTGATGTTTGTGAGCGGTTCGAGAATAGAGTCGGCTTTGGCAGCACTTGATCTTTATGATGCCTACAATAGTGCCAGATATGATATTTTTTGTATCTGCGCTCATGGAGAACACATTTTGTTCCTGGCTTGTAAAATGGACAGCAGCTGTCTTGCATTGACGTATGGTTGACCTTCGCCTAGGTACATGGACCTCAGAACCATGTAATATCGCCCAGGGAATCCCAGAATTCTGAAATTTCCCCAGTACTCTTCGATGTGTATACATGCAAGATTGCAGAAGTTGAAGCATTATATGTGGGAAGGATATTGACATTTGCTGATAATGTTCTTGCATATACCCAGGGGAGTGAAAGGCAACAGATAGCCCAAGAGCTACAGGCAGCTGTAGACAAAGTGACCTACTGGTGTCCAGAAATGGATGCTGTCATCAACTCAGAAAAGTCAGTTTTTTTGTGGTGCTCTCTGGACAATGCAATTGTAAGAGCTAATATTTCAAGCCTCACAATTAATAACAATAACATCATCAGAGAAGGCAAACTGAGGTACATAGGAATCACTTTCGATAGAAACCTGTCCTTCAGGGATCACGTGGAGGCAGTTGCGGTGAAATACCAAAAAGGACTTAATGCTCTCAAGATTATGGCAGCAATGACATGGAACAAAGAATACTGTTCACAATATAGAGCATCTGATCCTGTCGGCGATAGATTATGGAGTTGGAATGCTTACCATATCAAAGTGTCAGATGATAAAACTTGAACGCATACAGAATGTAACCATGTGGGTAATTTTGGGATGTGCAAGAAATGCCCCGGTAGTGTGTATGCGATATATACTTGCACTGCCTACAATTGCAGACAGGCTCACAGTTATGTAAGCAAAGTAATATATCAGAGTAAAGACAAGAAGCATCACCTGCATAAATCCATGAGTAGAGTTAAGTGTCTAAGACTGGAAAGAATAAGGTCTTGGAAGACACAATTAGACATGTGTGAAGGCTTGATAAATTTGGGCGAGGAGAGGAGTGGGTCAAAGTGACCAAGCAAGTTTCAGACTCGCGTAGGGTTCTTGTCACTTTAGGTCGTGAGTGCAGGGATTGGCCAGCTCGCGCTGCGAAATCAGAAGTTCAACAAATGATTCATGACAATTCCCGCCCAAGTGGTGTGATTATCTATATTTATGGCTCTGTGTCACAGACGAAGTGCATGGGAGTTCATAACAAAGGCCAATGGACGTCGCTTAGCAAAGACTTGCATATGAAATCACAATGTCTAGTTTGAGAATGGAGGTGGAGACAGTCGCTGTTGCCTTTTGCTTACTTGAGAATCAGCTGTGTACACATGCTGCGGTTGTAACTGACTCACAGAGTATGTTGAAAAAAGTAGAGACAGGCATGCTCTGTGCAGAGTGGCAAGCATCACTTCAGAGGTCCCGTGAAGTTAGAATCCTTTGAATATTTTCTCCAGGTTATGCCGGTGTGTTGGGAAATGAGCAGTAAGATAGCCTGGTCGGTTCTGCACCACTTGGTGGTGAATTGATGTATGACAAGCTAGATGTTGTGAGGGCCCTTTGGGAGCTAGTGAACAGTGCGGAGGTACCGATAGATCATTACGGTCCGGGGAGAATGGCGCTTTTACCTGGGGATCTGGCTGAGACTCAACAATCAAGGAAAAGACGAGACGGATATACAATCGGTACTGGAACTCTTCACTTGCTGTTGAAGATAGGGATGGAGCGCTTATGGAAGTGTCTCGAGTGCTATGATATCGATTCTTAATTCAACATTCAAGTGGCAATTCTCTCTAAACGCTAATAACATTCTCATGCACACCGAAGATACTATCGTAGGATACAATGTTTCAGAACGACAGGGCTATACCTTCAATGGGAGAATTACACAGAGGCATCTCTCAAGAGTAATCAATGCTGTGATCCAACTGGAAACACGAGAGAACACCACATGAGGCCACCCACCCGTCAGGTATTCAATTTCGACTGCATCAAATGGCAAGTTGGCCTCTTCGAAAGCTGGAGTGAGCCCTATATTGAGCCACACAAGTGTCAGGAGGCAACCAAGGTCAGATATGGCGAGACCTTAAAGACAAGAAGAATGGAAACTCAGTTACTCATTAAGTTAACAGATACTCACAGCTGCCCACACAGGCAGACACGCACATAAATAAGATCCCATGTATAAAGTATAGTCGGCTCTGTGGCTAAGTCGATGCAAAAGCTTCGTAATGACGGGATGCCGGGTTCGATCGAAGCTGCGGGCCATGCACCTTGCGTTGGTTTCGACAGTGGTATCAAGAAAACCGACCGTCCAGAAAGCAATGGCAAATTACTGGGCGTAAATTTGCCTAGAAAAACCACAAAACAGCCACGAGCTATTGGGGTTGGTTCTGGGAAAAAAAAAAACAAGATCGTCTCCAGACCTCGAGTCTAAAGGGAAGTAACAGCGAAACATAGTGTTTTCAAAATAAATTTCTGTAAGGAACGTAAGCAGCTTAGTTACTCAAAGGATGTGTGTGTTGTCCATCAAGTATGGGTACGAAGATGACTGATGAGGTCGATGCTGGCCGGAACTGTTTTTGGACAGTGAGGACAAGGAATAAGTGTTGTGCCAGGGAGGGGATCTCCAGTCGCCTTCTTGTCCATCTTTTTTCTTAATCAGTCTTGCTGTTCTGTTTGCCTCACTTGTAGTCGCGCCTCTGTGTAGAGTTGCACACCATGCATTTCGGTCTTGAGAGGCAGCCTCCCAGATGGTCTCCTTCGTTCCAAATGCTTTGAGCGAAGACTTCAAGGTGTCCCTAAAGGTTTCTTTTGTCCGCCTTGGGAACGTTTGCAGCTCACCATAGGATTATTATTTTTTTTTTTTTTGAGCCTGTGATCTGGCATGCGTGCCACATGACCAGCCCAAAAAAATTTGATACTGCATCAGTAGAGTGTGGATGCTGTGCATGACTGATTTCTCACGGACTACGGTATCAGGTACTTTGTCTTGCCATCTGATCTGCATTAGTTTTCTAAGGCAGACTGTGTGAAAGTGGTTTAACTTTCTGGCCAGACGCTGGTATACTCAAAGGATATAGCACCAGAGATAGTTAACTTTTAGTGATGTGGTGTTATCTATGAGAAATGCTTAGAAAGCTTGCTGCAAAAAGCCCAACTGACCTGGACATTGCAGTCAGAATGACATCTGTAAATCGCATACTTCTACTGGTCGTTTTTTGGTATGAGTTATTGTGATACGGGAGGAGGAAAAAGACAGACACGTAGATTTTCAGTGTTACAGTATGTATTTGTTTGTATGTAGTTTTGGCATGGGATATCAGGACTATTTTTATCAACGTTAGTTTGTTTCATCTTAGACGCTCAGCTCTCATTCAATTAGCAATCATTTCTTCCTTCATTCTCGTTCCCTCTTTGATGTGACCCTCCACACAACAGAGACTGTGGCATTTTGTCTCCATGAGTCCATCCCATTACCTGTATCTTTCGAGTCCCGCTTGCACACATAATTATATCGTAGTAAAGGTCGAACTCGACATCTCCTACCCTTTTTTAATTCACCAGAGAGGATGTCCTTAGGGACTCTGCCATCCTCCATTCTCCAGGTGTGACCCAGCCACCTGAGCCTTCATAGACTGTGGATTGAGAAGACTGTTGTAATTCAGGCTCTTTCCAAAACCTCAGTGTTTGTGATCTTGTCCTGACACTTAATGCCAATTATTCTTCTTAGGCATCGCATGTGAAAGCTTTTTAGCCGTTTTCCCCTGGTGCGAATAAGTTGACCAAGTTCCATTGCCATAAAGCAGAGTGCCGAGAACACAGGTCTGACAAACAAGAGTTGTTGTAATCGTGAGCTTTCTGTTCTCCTAAACGTGTTTTTTATTTTTATTTTTAATCTGCTCATTGTTGTTGCTACTTATCTATCATGATGTTGATTTCTTGGTCCAGCAATAGTTTGTTATTCACTGTGGATTTCAGATAGGTAAAATATTCAACTGTCTCCAGCTCTTTCCTGTCAATGCAGACTGTAGGTCTATTATTAAAACCTTGTACCATAGCCTTTGTCTTCTTTTTGTTGATCATTAGTCCACATTCACAGCATGAATCAGCAAATGCAGACAGTAAACTTTGCAGCTCCTCCTTTGAGTGGGTGAAAATTGCTGCATCATCTGCAAGCAACAGCTCTCAAAAATCTGTCTTTCTTATACTAGTTTTGGGCTTCAACATATGAGCATTGTAAAGGCTTCCTTCAGATCGAGAATGGATGAATATACCACTCTCCTGATCTCGAAAGTCATATTAGATATAAATATATAATTAGGCAATCAAAGAAGATTTCAGTCTACGCAGTTGCCATTATATTCATTGTGTCAGTTCGCCGGCATTAACTAATTAAAATGCGACAGAGATTAGAGAAATAATGTGATACCTAAAAGACTGACGTTGACTGGGTCTTTGAAGCCTTGCTGGACAAAACAGATGATGTTGATGATGTTGGTCACCGTCCCAAAAATGTCTATCACCTGACAAACAACTGCGATACCAATCCAGAGAAACAGTCTTCGAGCTTCGTAACTGACCAGAGTGTCCTCCGTGTCCTGCACACTGGACAAATGTAGATGGGAAGGAAGGTACGAGAGTGTTTCATTTCTCCACAGAAGATCGGCTGAATCTTTAGGCAGTGAATGCTCCGATATTGTCATTTCTGAACAACTAAGTCATCGCTGAAAATACAATCAAAAACGGAAGCGTAAGTATAACTAATGATTAGCAGCTTTCAGTCTTTCCAGTGCTATATTATTCTATGAGGAGGCATGGGACTCACAGCCCATGGCGATGGCGAGTGTGACTAGCAAGACCTGCCCGCGTCAAGAAAAGTCTTTTCCACAATGATAGCATGGGATTTCAGGACATATGTTGTCAACATTTGTGTTTAGTGTGTAGCACACTAATTTAGCTCCAGTGACGCATCGAACACACAATTCTAGACGCAAATGTTTGTAAACTAATTGGCACATGATTGTGGTAGACTTCCAAAGATCTTTCCTAGTCCCCTATTAGGCAACTTATAGAGATGTTGAAGAAAAAAGAGAAAAAAAAAAAAAACCCCAAGAGGTGTTTTCACAGCACAAGTATGGAAGACAAAGGAAATTAAAACATTCTAAATTTGAATATTTTAAAAAAAATGTTTTAATGTCAGATCAGTATGCCGTACAGAGCGGACACATGGAGAACAACTAAAAGAGTTACTCGTAGGTTAGGTCAGCCTGGATGCTAAGATCAATTTTGAAAAAAAAGGACATGATGTGGATTCAGACTTGAGACATTCAGACCGGTAGGCCAAAGTCAAGCCACTACACTATCATGTCTCGCCTATGCTGCACATGGGGTGTGCGGGAGTCGCGCGGATACAATATATATATATATGTGTGTGTGTGTGTGTGTGTGTGTGTGTAATGTATGCCATCTTTCAAGGTAGGTAGATAAGTTGTACCCCACCAGGACATCACACAAAGTGATAAACACACGGTGACACAAAGTGTCACCATGCGAGCGAGGATCACCCATGGAGAGGTCCCAGAAACCCCGTTCAGCAGTTAGGCCATATTTAGGGCCCGGCTATATTTAGGGCCTCAACAAAAGGGTGGGGGCTTCAAAACAACTACCAGAAATACGTATAAATGCATTTGGAAATATTGCATTTGAAAACAAACAGTAGGCAAATTTAAAAGGCGAGACTACAGGTAATTGAACAACTAAAAATTAGCTACGAAAAAACAACGCGATGAAATATTTTACATTTTTCCCACTGTGTCTTTCTTAGGGCCATTACATGTTTGTTTCACCTCTTGGTTGAGTGAAATTTGTGCAGTACTCCCCCAAAGCTCCACATAAGTGGTTCTATAATCTGATCATCCCCATGTTGGATGCAATTTTTAGTTAATTTGAAGCCCCACCCAAGCTTTTGGAGGGGGCCATAAACATAGCCAGGCCTTAAATATGGCCTAACGGCTAAACAGGGTTTCCGGGACCTCTTCACAGGTGATCTTCATCCACATGGTGGCACTTGTGTCACCGGGTATTTATCGCTTGCGTAATGTCCTGGTGAGGTACAACTTACATACATAGGTGGTTATGAAATTCCTTTTAATTCCACCCATTCTATTATATATTATATATAATACATTGTATAAGCATGTATTAACTATGTTCAATTGACCAGTAGCATAAAATTTCCTTATTGCACAAACATTAGTGAAAAAAAGTAACATCAAAACTACACGAATACGCACAGCCAGGTAGAATATTAGTTGTCAATGTCAGTTGTAGGTGTGTTTTTTATTTATCATTCATGAAGTTTTTATTTTTATTTCTTAATTTTATTTAAATATCACGCAGTATTTATAAGTAATAAAGTACACATTACTTTGTGTGAACCACACAGCAATCCCCCCCCCCCCCCCTACCCACAGCCACTTTTTTTTACACATATACACGCGCGCACACTCACACCACAAAAACTAGAACCAATAAAATAAGAAAGAAATTTTATTTACAAGAATAACAAAGTTGATTTTGTGACACGTAAAACATTTTGTTATTTCGAAGCTAATTATAGTTGTGAGTACACTAGGTTGAGCATGACAGACACCTGTGCTATAACAAGAGCGGAAAAAAATGTAGTTACACTAGTTTAATTTCAATCGACATATAAGAAATTATACACTGACAATTGAAAAGTGAATAGTGGTTAACAAGTAGTTGTGGCGGTTTTGGCCTTTGACCTGTGTGGTAAAATGTACAGACGTCAGTTAACTGGAGGTTAAATAATTGTCTTCATTTTTATCCACAATAATTATTTCGTCTTGAAAGTATTTTCTATTGTTCTTGTCGTGGTGACCCAAAAGAAAAAGATAATCTGTGCAGACATATCATTTTCTTTAGTTCCTGCTGTATTATTTGCAACGACGAAGATAAAGACAAATTGGTGAGTACGTAAAGAATAAAGGCAGTAATTAAACACGCGTTTTGCGCTGGCAGCACAGAATTACAAAGGAAGATGGTGAATCTGTGTTTTTGTGTGAACAGAAATCGGAAGTTAAAGAATGTTCTAGATGCCTTCGTTGTCATGATAATCTAACAGCCAGCTTTGAAGGCAATCCTAGAGTATAAACACAGTATATTGAATAGAGCATAAATAAGGTTAGTTGAGTTGATTCAAGAAACGACATCACAGCATGCGGAGAATTCCCGTAAGCGCGCTGTGCCCCCATAAGGCATTCACAACGCTTGCCTTATCATGCATCAATATTTAACCAAGTTCTGACGTGTGAGCCAGTCTGCCGGCAGTTCATTTCCCGACACACCGGCATTATTCAGAGAAGAGATCCACACAATGCTTTTCATTCGTGATTTCCGAAGCGAAGCATGCCAATCTGCACGAAGAATATCTAGAAATAAGATGGAAATTTACCAAATAAGAAACTGCTTTAAATACACATTAACTACTGTAATATTTGTATATCCGGCCCCTTTGGGCGGTTTTATGTCATTTTATATCTCTTTACCTCACACAATTACATATTTATTTGTACTCCAGTCGTCTTAATAGATATCTTGGTTGCACAGTTACTCAGCTCACACATCAGCGGAGTGGACTAGCGTTTAATCCTTTCTAATGAAAAATATGACACATTTGAGAGCAAAATGATGAAAATTAAATGGGATGATTTCACAAGGAGTGACGAAATAAGAGAAATTTCTGGGCAACCACTAGTATCAACAATAATAAGACGGATAATATGGGGCTACATTGGACACATGCTGAGAAGAAATCATCATAGAATGTCCAAACAGCATTACAATGGGAAATAAAGGGATGAGAGAGGCCAAAACTGCTGTACTGGATTCCATCCAGAATATGGAACTGATTGCACAGGATAGAAGAGACTAGAGGAATAGACTACCATCCCTTCGTTACATAAAATGACACAACATGAAAAGGAATGAATGAATAAATCAATGAATGACAACTAAGCCTTTTTAAAGCATTAGTGCAAAAGCAGAACATACATTTGTACAGACGTGTAACCAAATCTACCGGCCTCTTCTATACGACACCATATGTCTCGGTAGGAGGAAAAGAGGAGAAGAGGCGGACAAGGAAAGCACTGGACGTCGAGCATGGCTGATTGTACAGACCTGAAACATACAAGCATGAACTTCTGTTGCATCTGAGCAAGTGTAACCCCAGGACACAAGATGTTTTCTGATGTGAGGGTGACGACCATAATGATCAGTAGCAAAATGGGAATATTTCCAATCCAAACTGTTATGGAAGCGTCTTGCATAATGGACATCATGTAGCAGATCCTTTGTAGAACGTCGCTCTCATCACGGTCTGCATGAAAGAAAACCCGGTCTCTCGCCAGCTCTCCCGTATAGTGTATTTCATATTCAGTGAGTCACTTATATCATGTGCCCATCTTCGTTTTGGTCGCCTCTTCCCCTCCTTCCTGATACCATGTCTTCTGCTATTAGAGAGAGTATAAAACCAATTTACTCTTACATGACGTGAATATTTTTTCACATTTTCCCTACTCAGTGAAAATATACTGTTAAATTAAGGGTCAAAGATGACTCCCGAGGTTTTGACGGTGTAAATAAACATAAAATGGTTATTCAATATCGAAAATAGGCGGCCAAATAGTTGTGGCTCTCATTATTTGGACATTCATTCATTCATTCAGTAGCATGTCCCTCGCGGAACCTCGCTGCCATAACAACCCTCCGGAAAACCTTCCTATCCTGAGCAAGATGTCCTGCGTATGATACACCCATCTGGAGATCATCTGCCACATCCTGCACCCATCTTCTCCTTGGCCTTCCTCTTCCTCTCTTCCCAGGCATATACCCCTCCACTATTGTTCTCTCTAGACTTCCATGACGTTTCAAGTGACCAAAATATTTCAATTTTCTTTGTTTTATTGTCTTTACTTGGACATGGTCAGCATTAAATCATTTTTAGTGACTGAATCGATGTTTTTCTGATCTATAGGATTTAGGGAATACTTATTCATGTACAGTGGATTTCTGGTGGTATCAGATTGATTCTTATACGGCGTAGGTACTTAGCACAATGGTTCATTGTGAATATGATTATTCTTTTAAAGACTCAAGTTTAATTACTATCATGACTCGGAAATAATATGAACGGTGTAATTTAAATAAAGGGTTTATAAAAATGTTGTACCATACAAGGTAAAGCTAAAATCGAGAGGATCCACTTCATTGTACCATGTTTTACTACAGGTTCATACGAACATAATTAAACTGCACTATAAATATTTGCTCCACTGATAGGCTAAACTCAGAATTAGAAATTCTCAAGCAAACTTTATTATTTAATGGGTATTCAGCTAGATTTATTAAGGGCCACTATTTTCTCACAAGAATATACACAAGCTTACATGGATATCCCCAAATAAAAGAGATGTAAACCAGATCGACCATTTCATGGTAAACAGAAAATGGCGTGGGTCTCTGCTTGATGTGCGTGTCAAAAGGGGAGCAGACGTAGGAAGTGGTCATCACCTTGTAGTTGCTCTACTACGACTTAATCTCAAAAAAGTTCACACGCAAATTAAGACACAGACAGCACGCTACAATGTTAACCTTTTAAGAGAAAAAGACATTGCCATTA